GACGTGCCCGGTGGGAGCTGGCCATCCTAAGCACCTGTGGCTCTGTCCCCTCAGATGTTGTTGTTGCCAGGGTGCACGGAGTCATGACCCCCGGTGAGGCTGTCATTAGGGCCTTAGGGTTTCGATCCAAGGATCTACTGCTCAGCTGCTAACCTGAACACCGCCCGTTTGTGCCTGTCCGGCAGTGCTGCGGGACAAAGGCCTGGTGCCTTGCTTGTGTAAAGAAGAGCCTGCGGATCACCATTGCTGTGTGATGCCCCAGTTGCCTCGAGCCCTGTGGATTTGCATTGGTTTCCTTTGTGATATCTGTGAGCCGGGTGCAACTTGCTTGTCAATAGCTGCGCCCTGCCTGTGGGTCTGAGTGTGTGCTCATCCTCATCGTCCCCGTGGGTGCTGTCTGGCTCCGGGTTTATACAGTCCCCCCTGTGCCTCCCAGTTCCGATGCTGACGAGTCACCATGACGCTGGGCGAGGACAGGGCCTGTGTACCCACTGATAAGCTGTGGCCACTGGGGATGTGCCATCTGCCACGCTCACCCATTGACAGACCGCCGGGGACTGCCATCTGGCCCCAGGGTCAGCCTGATGCCCGGCAGTGCAGGGAGACAGGGTGGCGAGGAGGCAGCGAACCGAGGCAGGAAGCAGGGGGACCCCCACCCATCCTGCATTGGCTCACGGACAGGTGCCAGGACATCGGGCCCAGCAAGACTCTGGAAAGGGCAGGACAGGAGAGAGTGTCACCACCGGGTTCAGGGTTAGGGTCGACCCTGATCTGGACTCAGAAGGCAGCAGCCTTGGCCTCCCCTTCCAGGGAGGCTTCTGGGAGCCCTTGGCCTGCCTAGGGACAGAACCCCACTCCTGAGAGAAAGCACAGGGAAACGGGTTCAGACCACTGACCTTCTGCTTCATGGCTGAGTGCTTTAATGGCCGTTCCACCAAGATTTCTGAAGTAGCACCGAGTAAAGCGGGAAGCAGAGCCTGGGCACTGACAGGAAGAAGAGGTAGCCGGCCCTTCGCGGTCAGGAAGAGCCGACTGGACAGTCACCGCATAGTTTTGTCTGAGTTTTCCCCCAAAACACATTTTATTGGGACCTAGTACTGATCTGATACCATTCCACAGTTCAGTCACATAAGCAGTGTTGTACAATTGCTACCACAGTCAGGTGTGAAACATCTTCTTCCTTCTTGAACTCTTTGATATCAGCTCCCCTACTATATACCCCGCCCCCCTCGGGGACCCTTACTCTGGTTTTTATCTCTATAGGTTCATCAGTCCTGGGTTTTATACCTAAAACCAGAAAAACCTGTAGGAATCCCCATGATGTCAAAATACATCAGAGATAAACCCCAATGTGGGAAGAAACACACACACACACACACACAGAGAAAACATTGTAAACCAGATTAGGCCCAAAGTGTATCCGGGAGGTGTTGGGGAATTAGGGGACAAGATTTTAACTGTAAAAGTCAGGTTTACCCTTTTGAGTTCCTGTAGTCATGTCTCCCGTCATCTTTGTTGGGTACCCGGCTTATTCCCATCCTTCAGCTGTGGTTAGAGAGAAATCAC